ATGGATCACAGATACTAAATGCCTGTGTTTATCTGTATTTTGTCTGGTGTACAAATGGAGTGTCTCATTTTGGTATACCCTAGCATGTCCGTTCTTTTTTTATCATTTGAAATTAAATTGATGATTTTTTGGTATCTATTCTGAACCACTAGACCCTTAATTTCAAATCATTTCTATAAGTATTAGAAATTTTGTGATTATTTCTAAAAATCACACATGCTTCTAACAAATACATGGGTTACATGCTACTAAGAATTTGTTCTTTAAGACTGGACAAAAAATGTTGGACGTTGGAAGAAACTAAAAAAAATTAGAAGAATTGGAAGGAACTAGAAAAAGAATGGAAGAAACAAAAAAGATTTGGAAAAAATTAAACAAAACTGAAAAAACTAAAAAAAATGGAAAATATAAAAAAAAAACTTTAAAATAATTTATTTTAATAGATGACACCAGATCTTTCAAAAAAACCTATAAATTCCCCCAAAACAAACCTTTAAAATAACTTTAAAATTGGAAAAAATTCTAAATTAAAAAAACCTATAAATTCCCCCAAAACAAACCTATCTCTCACACATCTCTCACTATATTCTCTCTACAATTCTATCAATCTTTCAAATATTTGATTATTTATTATAAATATTTATAAAATATATTTTAAAAATGGGATCATCTTCATTAGATGATGAAAAAGAGCTCTCATTTTTTGTTGTTTCTGTTGGAATGCATGAGTTCAACCCTTTCTGTGTTGTTAAGTGTTGACTCACAGGTTTTAATAATTGACAAACACAATTTATTCAAGACAAGATCAAAGTGCTACAACGACAAACACGAAGACTTGAAGTGCCTTTCCTTGACATATTCAAGAAAGTGCACAGGATTTTATTGAAGTCCGAGACACGTTCGGAGTGCCTAACGGAGGACTCAGAGGAGCAGAAGATTTTCGAAGACTTTTTATTTATTTGAGTCTTAGGAATTTATGAGAGTTAAAATAAAAATTATATTTATTTTTGGAGTCAGTTGAAAAATCTTTTTAACTGTTCAAAAGGGGTTTTATTGAGTCAGTTACAAAAAGTGTGTCAAACATTTATCAAATATTTATTTTGATATTATAAAATATTTTTGGTAAGCAAAAATATTTTATTCAAATATTTTTCGTGTACATCATTTGACACACAAAATAATTTTTGGACTCACTTTTACTCCCTTATTCAAATACATTGAATAGGAGAGGTTTTGTTTGAGGAGCGTCTCTCATTCCTCTTGTCTAAAACAATCGCGTTAAGACTTTTTTTACTTCTCATCTCGCAACTGGCTTGGGGCCCTTGTGTTTGTGCATCATTTCAAATCTAATCGATTAATATTCTCACTTTAATCGATTTACCCAGCTTTGTTTTGATTAATCAATTAAAATCTCTTGATTGATCGATTAATTGAGTTTTGCTTAGCGTTGGATTACTCAGGTCTTGAGTTTAATTGATTTTTTCCTTCCCTTTAATCGATTAGTTCACACAGGGCCTTCTAATCGATTAATCCCTTTAATTTAATCGATTTTCTTTCAGCTGCATTAATCGTTGATGATGTTGCATTAATCGATTAATGTCAGTGCATTAATCGATTATTATGCTGCATTTTTCATCCCACTTCTTTTCTTGGACCAACGGATATATTCCTTCAACCCCTTTATAAACATCACTCCATGGTCATTTTTACTATGAACAAGCACTCCTAAAATCCCCCAATCTTGAGGTTATAATCCTCCATTCATTTATTCCTCAACTTGATATATTTTGAGAGAAAACTAAATATTTTCAAGAGAGTGTTCTTGTCATCCATAGAGCTTTAATCATTTCTCATTTCTACTCTTTTGAAAGCTATTGTTGAGAAGTTGAAGAAGATTGTTCTTCCTGTTGTTCAAGACTTATGTGACTTAAGTCTTGGTTGTGAAGTCTGGTAGAGGGCATATCTACGAGCGGTTGTGTCGAGGCTTGTGGGATTCAAGTTCTCGAGTTGTAAACGGTTTGTTAAGCACCCGTAAGCTTAACGGAAGTAGTGGTAGCTTCGAGAGAGTCTCTCGGGGAACTAGACTAGCCACGAGGTGGTGAACCAGTATACATCGGTGTGTTCTTTGCCTTCTCTCTTTTATTTTCCGCTGCACTTACGTTTATATTTTTAATCCTGCGAAAATCAGTAAACATTCTCAACAACTCTATTCACCCCCTCTAGAGTTGCACGCCTTGTCTAACAGTTTCGCCACGAGTTGTCAAAGCAAAAAAGAAGAAGTCGAATCCTCCCGACGCCAGACCCGGACCCGACGACAACGTTTAAACTGGGATCGAGCGGCTGCCCACGCTTCACTTCTCAACGACTACTTTAATACTCCGTGTGTTTATACACTGGAGGATTTTAGTAATCATTTTCGGATGAGTCGTCCTCTCTTTTTACGCATACTCGCCGATGTTGAACGCGAGGTGCATTGGTTCATCCAACGCTTTGATGTGAGAGGCCGACGCGGGTTTAGTAGTGTCCAAAAGTGCACTGCCGTGCTTCGTCATATGGCGTACGGGACGACATCTGATATGTTCGACGAATACTTGAAGATGTCGGCTTGGAGCATCAGGTCCTGTGTTTATAAATTTTTTGAAGCTATTATTCAAATTTATCATAAAAGATATTTATGCAAGCCTACAGCAAGTGACATTCAGCAGTTACAGGCAAGGCATGCCGCTAAACACGGCTTTGTCTGCATGCTTGGGAGTATTGATTGCACGCATTGGGAATGGAAAAATTGTCCCACTACGCGTGGCATGGTCAATTCTCCCGGGGAGATCATCCCAACCCTACTATCATGCTCGAAGTTGTTACATCAAATGACTTGTGGTCTTGACACGCTTTTTTTAGTGTCGTGGGCTCGAACAACAACATCAACGTTCTCAATCAATCGCCTCTTTTTGACGATTGGATTAATGAGACCGCACCCGACTCGTCTTTTGAGCTTAGAGGGACGCTTTACAAGCGTGGATAATATTTGGCCAATGGAATGTATCCAGATTATTCCACGATTGTCAAGTCCCTCTCCAAACCAATGGTCTTAAACGCCAGACCTACCAAAAAGCTCACAAGGCGGCGAAAAAAGATATTGAACGAGCCTTCGAAGTCTTGAAGGCTAAGTGGCACATTCTAGATCGTCGGTCAAAATGTTTCTCTCAAACAAAAATGAAGAATATCATGTACGCATGTATTATTCTTCATAATATGATCGTAGAGGAGAACGGCTTTGCGATTTGTCAATACAACCAGGACGAGGAGGTGCCTATGCACGAAGAAATCGACGAAGAAAAGAAACTAAGAAACCGCCAAGAAATTCGAAGCCGGGGGATTTGTAAGTTCGTGGGGATGCAGCGGAAATCATCAATTAAGAGCTATGCAAACAAATCAATTCACTATGTTGCAGAAAAGACGCTGCAGCACTGTCACAGTAACAGATGACGGACAGTGTGCTACAATACTTCTCTGTCACAAGCACACACGTAGAAAATAAAGTAAAAACAGTAAGTAAGACACCAGAATTGTTCACGCAGTTCGGAGCAAATTCTTCTACGTCTGCAAGGCCCACGTCCGTGTATTAGCTCTTCCACTAAATCACCGTAAGAATTACACAATCAATCACAACAAAACTTTCTAATGTATTGATTTGTCTACTTACAAATGACTTGACGACAAACTCGGTTTGCGTCTATCTCCATGACTTGTTACACAAGATCTTCTTCAAGGACGTGTTTACAACCCTAGTTCCAAAACTAAATCAACCAAAACTGGACCACAACTTGTAGATCTGCACCGTAGCTTGTCACCGATTCATGGAGAAGAAAATGTGGCCGATGAAGCACTTTTCTTTCCTACTTGCAGCTGTACAATTACTTTCTCCACTTCATATGTATATATTTCACTTTTAGGTCTTGCGGCTAGTTCTTTTCTTCTGCCTTAGCTTCTCATGACTTTTCCTTTTTTTTCTCAGCTGTGCACCAGTGACAAGAGAGGCCTGGAACATATGTATATTTGAAGGCCTTAAACCCTAGCCAAATAGTAGACCATGTAGGATTAGGATTCTTTCTTCAACCTCTCTCCTCTTTCTCTTCCTTCACATGCTAGGATTCTAAGTCTAAATAAAAACATCTAAAATAATTTTAGGTAAATCTATTCGTTTGTCAAAAAATAATGCCAACACAATATGGAACTAACAGGATTCACAATGCACTAACGACGGATTTGATCGAACATATCTTCAGTCGCTCGAATCATTAGTAATTTCTTTGTAGTGTTGTTTTTTTATGGTTGTAATATTTTTTTTAATGAATGTAACTTATTTTTTTAATGAATATAATTTTTTTAATGCACTCGCCTCCATTCGATTATTTTAAATAATAAATTAATTAAAATTTATTATTTTAAATTTAGAAAATGTATATTTAAAAATGTAAAAAATGAAAGTTTGAAGCCCTGGACTTCAAACCCATTTCTACTGAATCTGTGAGGTAAGCTAAAGTTGACGTGACGGAGAGAAAAATTTTGAAACCCCAGTTTGAAGCTCCGGGACTTCACGGAAATTCCAGTGCCCTAATGGGTCAATCTCAATCAATAATTAATTATATTTAATCAAATATTAGTTAATAGACCTTATGCTCCAGCACTATGAGGGATTGAGGGTAATTCTTTTAACCCATACTCGGTATGTAATATTATAAAAACATTGCTGAATAAATTTAAGTGAATTTATCACTTGTCCACGTATCATTTTTTTAGCACTAAAACTTAAGTCATTTTCCTAAATAGCACTTAAATTGTTTTATTCCTTAAATAGCACATAATAATGTCCATAATGTCCTGTGATGGCAAATATTTGCTTGAATAATGACTAATGCATAATGACTAAAAGTGCTACATTGGGAAGAAAAACACATGTGGTGCTATTTAAGAAAAGTCATTATGTTTTAGTGCTATTTAAGTAAATTTCTCTTTTTTTAACCTTCTATATAGCTCTACACTTCTACATACATAATGAAACTTCCAGAAAATGCAAATAAAAAGCTCTAGCAGGACCTAAAAGAAAGTAAAATCAATGTGCGGCTTTCCTAACACGCCACAAACCACAGATCGCATGCACATGCTGTCCAATGATCTGAGCCGTCCATCTTCTTCTCCTCAGATCTGAAATATATTGACCCGGTCCAATCCATGGACCCTGCCCGACCCGACCCGACAATCTTATTTCTTGCTAACCCGAAACCTGAATTAGTTTACTCAGAACTCTGCCGCCACAGATTCTCGTAGAACTCCCGAATGAACAACTCGGCGGCTTCGTCCACGTGGCAGGCGTCGCCGTAAAACTCGTCGCCGTCTCCCGATTGGAACGGCGAGTCCGTCACCCTCAGCTGCCTGACCACCGGAGTCCTCCCGAACCCCGGCAGGGCAGGAGACGCGGTCGCCTCGGCGGCCTCCTCCTCCTCCTCCAAGGCGGGAGGCGCCTCCGCCTCGCGGCGGAGGTGCTTGGCCAGCTTCTTGACGACAATGCTCAAGTAGTTGGAGTTGGGGGAGTGAGGGGGGCGGCGGTGGGCGGGGCTGTTGTCGCAGCTGAACTCGAAGGCGTCGGAAGGGTCGTCGGGGAAGTCAACGCCGGAGGCGGGAGAGACGGTGGCGGCGGAGGAGGTGAGGTGGTGGATGACGGCCCTTCTGGCGGCGGCGATCTTGCCGCGCTTGAGCTTGAGGTTGAGATCGAGCATGAGCTTCTTCTTGGAGATGCCCTGTTTGAGGAGGAAAAGAGCGGCCTTTAGCATGCTCCAGAACTTCTTTGATATTACCGGCAACTTGTTTGGCTCCATATATATATATATACTCACTTTTGTCTGTTTCTTTCGATTTGAGAGGGAAATTATAGTAATTCTTTGATGTATTGGATTCTTGTGAATTTAATGGATCGATGAAGGACTGGTTTTTGGGGGTAGGGGTGTATATATATATATATATATATATACACACACACACGCGCGCGCGGAGTAGAAGTCAGTGCGCGAAGGGATGGGAGTGTACGTTAGAGTTAAAGTAGGTAGGGTAGGGTAGGGTAGGGGTTTTGGTGGCGTTTGGACAGTTCCGATCGGCTACACTTAGATTTCGTGCTAGATTGGGATATTTTGGTGGTGTTCAATTGTGTGTCTCTTTGTTAGGTCGGGTCATTTTCCTAGCTAATTACTCACCCTCTCCCAATTATTATCTCCCTCCCCAAATCATTATCATTTCCATTACTTTTCAATATTGCTAATACTGTTTCTGAATATTTGTCTAAGTACTCCCTCCATCTAACCAAAGATTTAACGAGATTTGACCGACTTTATTTTCAATTAAATTTATTTGATTGTAAGGATAAAATTTAAAAATAAAATTAATATAGTAAAAAAGTACATGAAAAATTCTACAAAACTAGATGTAACAATACTATTTTATTTTATGAAATGAGTAGTTAAAATAAGCAAACAAAGTGAGTTAAGTTTGGCCATGTGAATAGTGTTCGGAAAGATCTATGATGGACAGAAGGAGTATATTATTAGGAGAGTGAGAGAACAAAGGGCTAGTTGAGGGTTTCATACTTCTCCTTTTTCTCAAAATATAGTCCCACACCTGGAAATTGTGTCTTTACTCGGGCATCAACATAAGCAAGCCTTTACCTACCTCTGATATTTTTTCGCTCAAGCAAAGGCCTCATCACTTGTTTCTTCCAAGAAGTTTAACTCTATCGCTTGGTTTTCCTTATTAGCCTCCGGCTGGCAGCTCTTTGATCGCTAGCACGAGATCATTGCCTCCACGTATCGGAGCCTTTGCCTTAAAACCATAAGCCAAACTAAATAGAATATCTCTCATTGCCTTTCTTAGAGTGGTCTGATAGGCCTTGAGGATCCCAAGGAGCTCATCCTCTCACTGCCCCCTGCAGCTAGCAACTTCTTCTTAATTCCATCCACGATTTGCATTCTCAACTTCGCCATTCGCCTAAGGGTAAGCCAAAGAAGTGTTGCTATGCTGAATCCCCAAATTGTTCAAGAATTTGGTGAACACAAATGCCTGAAACTGCTTCCCATTATCAGTTATAATCTGTTCTGGGATTCCCAAACCCAAACAGAATATGGAACCCCACAAACTTGGTCAATAGCTTCTTGGTGATACTAGTCAAAGGCATTGCCTCAACCTACTTGGGGAAGTAATCAACTACCATGATAACCCAATGCACTCCACCGAGATGACGAAGACAAACATGTTGGCAGCCCTCTCCTTAAGCTCTAGTTCATCTCCTGGTTGTCACGATCTGTTTGGCGTTGAAGATCTCCTCCTTCATGTAGATCGTGACTTTCTTCACGCATGGGAAGCTCCGGGACGGGACGGGAACGCTCTATATCAGCATATATTCTGTATTTTCCCTCTCAATCGCTCTCAGTAATTCCCAGGGACCTGCTGCGTATTTATAGGCTCCTCCTAACACAATCCTAGTAGGAATAGGTTAGTAGAAGTTGGCTTGAACTCTACTTCCTTAATCTTGATCCACAAGTAGCCTAAAGAGTTGGGATTCCTTCACAAGTACAGCTGGAGTTCTTATCATGTAATCACAATCCCAATAGGTCTCTAATTCAGATTGTAGCTTAAAATCCTGTGCTCAGACCTCTGATCCCGCACACTGTGTTGCAGCATCGTGCTGTATCATCTTCTGCGTCAATCTCGAAAACTGCAGCAGCTCTAGAAGTTTAAATAAAATAAACCTCTCCTAACAAATAGAGGTTTATACCTAGTAAAACATCTAACAAATATGGAATTCTATTTTGCCAAAAGATTAGCCAACACTATGGAACCAACAATGACATGTTGTTTCCATCCTCGGGAAATCCTATAGCTATTATAGTGAATTCCATCTATCCAGATTTTCATAAAATAGCAAATAATCCAACCTATTTGCATGACTGTGCAATTTTGGCTCCAACGTTGGATGTCGTCGATTCTATAAATGAATATATGACATCGCTGAATCCCAATGAGGAATCACGCACTTATCTTGGTTCCGACAAGGCTGAGAACTCGGACTCTAATTCGAATTTCATTAACGACTTGCATCCTCCTGAGTTCTTTAATAAGATTCGTGCTTCCGGGGTACCAAATCATGAGCTCATTTTGAAGGTAGACACCCCAATTATGTTACTAAGAAACATTGATCATTCGATGGGTTTGTGTAATGGTACTCGATTGATAGTAACTCGATTAGCTAATCACTCGATCCAAGGAAAGATTTTATCTGGAAAACACATGGGTCAAGAAGTTGTTATTCCAAGACTATCACTGACACCATCTGATTCAAGAATACCATTCAAGTTTCAAAGAAGACAATTCCCCGTGGTTACTTCTTATGCAATGACAATTAATAAGAGTCAAGGTCAATCTTTAAAACACGTGGGATTATTGTTACGGAAACCCGTATTTAGTCATGGACAATTATATGTTGCGGTTTCAAGGGTAACAAATCGTAATGGCTTGAAGATTTTTATTTGCAACGCAGACGATGTCCCAACAAAATGTACCACTAATGTAGTTTATAAAGAGGTTTTTCAAAATTTGTAATTTATAGATACTTTGAAATACTAAAAAATATTATATTTCATTATATGTTGTATTTTTTTCCTTTTGTAATGATACCAATTTAAATTTATAACGTAATTGTAACCCGTGCAATGCACGAGTGTGATAGTAGTTAATTCACAAAATGATGGCAACCATTCAAATTGGAGTATAGGCGTATGGGAGTGCGGACGGGTGCGGGTCAAGTTTTGGTTGGGAAGCCCTAGCTGCTCAATTCAACGGTAACGGGAAGGTCCGGCCCACATTCCACTCGAGCTTTCTTAGCATTGGAGGTTTCCCAATCTCAGTAATAAAAGAATTGAAAAACTCATGTACGTATATGTATGTCTCTTAGCAAGAAAGAAAAGAATGTTACGTGAAAGTACCGTGACAGTAAAAAGTAAATCACAAAAACTTACCGCGACTGGTTATGTAGGACTAACTTTTTCCCCTTTCAAAGTATAGTACTCCCTCCGTCCCTCTGTATTAGTCCACTTTTATTTTTACACATCATCCAATACACTTCTTTAATACATTTTATCTTGTAATTTGTATATTAAAAAATTATAGAAATTTTATATTAATAATCTATATGTTAAGACAAATCAAACAAAATCACACATGACTATATTTAGGCTTACACATTGAGAGAATTTGATGAGTCAAAGTACTTACATGAACAATTCCAAAAGTCAAATGTGGACAAATACAGGGAGACGGAGGGAGTAGTAATCACTAAGCTCCCTATTTTTTTTTGTAAAGTACCGGACCAGTAGTAGTCATTGACCTAATTGTAAAGGACCATGTGCCCTTAAAATATGAGTTCTCTTTCAAATATTATTGATTTATTAATGCAATGAAAAGTCCATGTAATACTTTATAAGTTTACATTAAAAAATTCCATATGGTTTACGTTATTTATAAATACTCGTAACAATTTATTCATCAAACATTATATTAGAACTCACTCACTAGTTAAAACTTTTAATTTTGAGTAAAAATTGTTGAAAAATAAAAAAAACAGTTCTTGTTACACTCGTACTCCCTCTGTTCCTTTAAACACTTCCTATTTTGACTTTGGGCCAAAATAAGAAAATTGTAATTTTGGTTGACTTTCCAATTTTGCCCCTGATGTGATGGGTAAAAGCAAGATGTGATAGTTTGGTTATTAGTGAAAAATATGATGTGATAGGTAAGGTATGAAAAAGTAGGGGTAAAAGTGGTTTTTTAATAGAAAGTGTAAGTTTTTTTGGGAATTGAAAAAAACAAAAGGGGAGAGTTTTATGGAACGTATGGAGTATTATTTTTCAGGTTTTTGTTTTACGATTTCGAAATTCATGATGTAACGATTTCTGAGAGTGTGTCATGATTTTAAGCAATTATCAATATAAATTGTTTGATTATTACTCTTATTAGGTTATTCACAATGGTAGTGCTTGGAGTAATTAATATGTTTCGTTACATTTTTAAATAGGATGTAGTTATACTCATTCACATTTTGGATGGTTAGAGTATATAACTTTGTCTGGCCTACTTTTATAAACTTAATCTTTTGGTTGAGTTGATTTTTTGACGTAGTATCAGAGTTTTATTCCATTAAGAGGTCACGAGTTCAAATCTCACTGTCACTCATTTTAATTTTAAAAAATTAAATTAATGTTCACGTGCAAGGCTCAAGAGTTTTGTCCTTAAAACATAAAACTTAGAAATCCGTTAAACATTGTAACGCGCAACGAGAAGATAATATTTGGATGGAGAGAATATAAGCTAACTTTAAGAGTAAATTTTTTTTGTTTAACATAAAATTATATTTAGCCAAGAAGAGAATGGATATAGCAGTACCCTTTTAAATATACATATGTACCCATCACCATTATATTTATACAAAAATTAATATCAAATCATCTCATACCGATGTTTTGAGATCAGAATTAATGTACACGGCATAAAATCCTATACCCAAGCACAATAGAGATAAAAACTAAAATAAGAGTAAAAAGTATAGAATAAGTATTAAAATATGACTTTACCAATTAGTTTGTGAGGCTCCTCGCTTGGGGACAAAGACGGGGTTAAATTGACAAGGAAAAAAAACAAGCAAATAAATCAAAAACTAGAAGTGGCCCTTCTTCAAAATAAAAACAAAAACAAATCGAAGTGGCCCACTTCTCCTCGTCCCATAGGAAACGGAAACCGAGCAGGCCCACTAACTCTGGGGACAATCATTGGGATTTCTCTCCCTTATCCACACTTTAGGCCTGCCCTTCAAATTATTTATGTTCACGCATCTATGTTTTTTTTTTTGAAATAAAGTAGAATTACATTAATGAAACAAAAAAAGGTACAAGGGACTAACATCTCACATTTCCTCAAGAATCAACATGTCTTGTTAAAACATGAGTCACTCGATTACAAGAGCGATAAAAAACATATCAAAATCCAACACAAAGTCTGTAGAAGCATCTTGCAATCACTAATCACAACTCTAAAGTATGATAAGAATAGACTACTACTCTTAATAGCATCAACCACTTAAAAATAATCAGAATACACAGTCAAGTTTGAAATAGGGAAGAAGCCAAATGGGGAAAGTGACTGCAATTGCAATCACTCCCAATTTAACCTTTTTATAGTATATACTGTGGCCTACTTGTAGTGACTAGAATTGCAAGATATTACTACTACTACTATAATGTACTCCATTGTATTGGCAAAAAATCATAAGAGTGCTATATTCCATGGCCCCAGCAGCTTCATCTTCTTCATGCCTCCCACTTCATCTTCTTCAGCTTGCTCCAAGCCCGGCCAATTGTTTCTTAGACTGATTAGTGTGGGCTTTAGTATTGCCAATATATCTCCGCCGATGTCCAATACCCCGCCCCTCTACCATCGGTATTGGTATGGATGGCATCACAACTATAGGTTCTTGCTCGAAAACATAATAAATTCAAACATAATATTAAATTAAGTAAACTCCTCAGTCAGCATCCATTCATCTCTTTATCTTCGTTGCCCTCCAAGATTGTTTTCTTATTCCTTATTCCTATTACCTACGCCGCGTAGCAACTAGCAAGTAAAACAAACTATGCACTCAGCTTTCACGCTGAGTGAGGAGTTCTAACCGTAGAAGTCACACATATGGTTTTTCAACATACACAATCATTTATAGTATTCCATGCACAAGTAGTATCACATACAATATCAAATCATATCAACAATACCAACAATTCACACATGTTACTTACCTCGCCTCTTCACTTGCATAAATTATTAACTCAACATTCAAGTTCTTACAATATCTCATCGCTAACACTAGCTCATAACCTATTCTAGGCTAAGGCCAAATCTTCATTATCCACAATTTTATCTTGGGACTTAGAGTCACTAACTACGATCATGACTCAAGTCTAATCTAAGACATTAGAACTACTACCTACAGTCATAATTTGGGTCAATCTGGTACCTACGGTGCCGGTTGGGTGGAACTTCCAATCCTACGGATCAGATCCCAAATTCCATGTACGTACATCTTTACCCAAATTCCACTGGATACTAAGTCCACAAGGCTCTAGAACCTAATATCAACTTACAATCTTAATTCTCACAAGGTAGTCCTAGAGTTCTTCTAGGTAACCTATTTCATTAACTTAATTTACCTAATCAAGTCCAATCTATTAACAAACTTAATTTACTTATTCAAGACATACAAAGATTATATTTAAAATATTATAAGAGGAAAACAATGATTAAATAATTATCATATAATACAAATAGTGACCTAGTGTCGGGTGTAAACTTCTTCCACCTACCATCATGCAACATATAAGGTCTTGGAGTCCATCCGTGACTTGAATCGGAACAAACAGTTAAGAAAAAGGGATTGCACAACACTGGACAAGGTACCTTGGTACCACCCAGCGGTACCTCTGTAATGCCGATCTGGTACCCCTGACTGCCTGGGCACTAGTACCGGCAGCGATATTTGCCCTGTGGTGGTAGCGGGATACTGTTAGACGATATCTAGCTACCGTCTAATTTGGAATTGCAGAAATAGTAGGTTCAGCGATATGCTTCAGGTTTAACAATTACCCTTAACAACTTCTTTAGAGATTACTAACACATAAACAATATCAATTTGAGTAAGGAATGTTAGGAAACGAGGCTTGGATAACGCAGCGCAAAACAAAAATTTATAGTCCAAAACTCGATTCCACCCAAGAACAACTTACGTAAATTACTAGCTATAGTAAGAAATTTACCTTAACGGTGAAAACGAAGAACGGAGGAACGGTCGGGGATGGTTTTGAGGAGATGAACGTAGCGCCAAACGTATGAAGCCTCCAACGTATCCACACGAACTTGCTCCGGAGTCCAAGATTAAACTTGTGCTAGCAAGTTTAATATAGGATAGTAAAAACTATAATAATACTACTTTGGAGTAATAAATATATAGTAAAAATATTTATCTTATAAATATTTCTTTATAATATTTTGTGTATATTTCTAACACATTAGAAAAATAACTTTGAACACAAAATAAAATTTTCTTCTCTCTAAAATAGGATGGCCGAAAATTGTTGTTTTTTTTAAATGGGGAGGGATATTCACACTATATAATACAATGTATTAAGAAAATGCTAGGAAATTGCTTAGGGACAAAAACAAAATGAGATTAGTGTAATGTCCCCAACCAACACAACAAGACAA